AACCTGGTAGCAATGGCCTCCAACCTACTAGCGATGGCCTTCAACCTGGCTCTAGCCTTTTGCGCGATAATTTTGTCCAACGGAACTTGTTCGAGGCTCACAGCACCTGAGGTCTCGGGCATTGTCGGATGGCTCCGAGGGGACCCCATCGAGGAAGAAGAGAGCAAAGCCTCGGAGGTGCAATGGATAGGACGCGTTTTCAAGCCTCAGCCTGAATGAAGAATGTAAAAGAAAAAATTGGTGAAAGGTCATTGAGTCACACATGCTTAAACAAGACCTTGGTCCTAGCTGGTCCTAGCTCTTTGATAATGATGTGTGTGTGTGTGTTTGTTGAATGGTGGTTGCATGTTGTTTGGTCCACTGACAAGCTTGCAGCTCGGATCAAATCAGAGCGTTTTTTGAAGTACAGTAGGGGCTACTTTGCGTCATTGGGATGCCTCCGCATCAGGATGCGCAGAAGGTATTGGCCAATGGACCCAGGCACGAAAATAGGAGGCAACTTCCGATTATGAAGACTACCAATGACAAATGTGGTTCAGAAACCAGGAAACCAATCATATTAAATACTTGTGATAGCCATCCCTCACCTCAACGGTCTTCATGAAAGAATGGTTGCCAGGGGTGCCGCTTACGGCGTGTCTCAAGCCTCGCCCACGGGCGGCATCAATGCGGTTTGGGTGATGCCAGAGGTGCGTAACCGCGCTGTGCGACGCTGTTGACCTGTGGTCTCCCATGGCACCCCTAGAGCCTCCAACCTACTCCTACTGACGATGGCCTCCAACCTACTAGGGATGGCCTCCAACCTAATAGCCATGGCCAACAACCTACTAGCGATGGCCTCCAACCTACGAGGGATGGCTTCCTTGCGTTAATCTTTAGGAACCTTCAACGTTGTAAGATTGGAGGCTTTATGTTTCCGGTGGAGGGGGAAGGTCTGGAAGAACTCGTTTTCGCCCCTGGCAATGGAGCTCGCACCTCACAGGAGGCTGATCCCGCCACCTTGGCAGAGTTGGCCGCAAAGAGCAGCAAGACAGGCAATCCAGCCTATGCAACTCGGCGCGATTAGGGCATCCAAAACAGGACGTGACTTTGATTTTGCGATGTTATGAACCCAATGAATGTGCCTGGGGCCTGGCTGAGGCACCCTCAAACATTCAGCCATATCAGGCCCCTGGTCAACCGCCTGCTCCTCAGATGTGTAGCTTCGTGAGGCATCGGACACGTAGCACACCCACCTGTTTAGCTCGGCTGGCATGCTCGGTGCAAGGAGCCTACAACGTTCGTTATCCACTTGTCCATTGACCTTATTGTTTACTACGTTTACTATAGATATATATATATATATATGTGCAAAATGCTTTTCAACTTCCGACCCTAATATACATGCATGCATACATACATACATCCATCCATTCATGACATGTCATGACAGGGTTTGATGTTTTCACATTGTATGCTCGAGCGTTTTTCGGGTTGGTGTGCTTTCTTCTGTAGTGTGATGGATGGAGGTGTGACCTCCACGGATGCGAGTGAGGCCGCAGATATGCTCAGCATTAGGCCTCGAAGGACAGCGCTTAGCTGTAAGTCTGGGCAGCGAGGAATCTTTAGCACGCCAATTAGCGGATTGGATGGGTGTTCCTCATAGGCACTGGCATGCTGGATTTGTGACGGGGCAAGTCAAGGCTGCCGTGACGATGGAGGATCTGGAGTCGCGTGTCGCCGGAGACAGAGCAACGAGCTCAGTGCCGGGGATTCATGACGTCCAGGAAGTGGAGAGTAAGAGGAAGGCCCAGTCGATCGAGCCAGGTGTTGGTCCCCAGGAAGCCCGCAGGAAGCCTAAGAGGGGCTTGTTGGGGAAGAGCGTCAGACTGCGCAGTGGGCATGTGGTGATGGAAGAGGATGTGGCTGGCAAGATTGTGGGAAAGCTGGTCCGTGAGTTGGAGGTCTACAACGCCCCTGTGTTGGAGGAGGTGTCAAAGGCGATCAACCCAGACAGGGCCACGGGGGCTCTCATGGGCAAGTATCGGACTTCGACAGTTCGAAGGTACTTGGGATACTGGCAGAAGTTTAGAATCTGGGCAGAGAGGACATCAAAGCCTGGACAACGACCAACGGCGATGCAGTCCTTTGGCTGTTAGCTTTGCCGTGACGTGGTTCCAGCAGACAGCAGGTCTGGATGAGAGTGAGATCTTTAGCAATCAGCACTTTCCCGGGATGGTGGTCAAGGAGTTGATCCGAAAGCTGGAAGAGAAGGCACCGCCAGTGAAGAGAGCGCCAAGATGGCCGAGTTGCTTCATTGCGCCCATGGAGACCATAGTTGTTGATGAGGAGCAGTCGCTGCCAACAAGGATCTGCGCATGGTTTAAGCTGGTGAAGCTTTGGGCATCAATAAGATTTGATGACCTAGCGCACATCCGCACGTCAGACCTGAAGCTGTATGACGGCGGGCTGATGAGGCAGACGAAGAACACAGGAGCTGGGAAGAGAGTTAGGGAACTCCCCATCTTCATCGGTGATGGCGCCTATGCATTGCACGAGGACTGGATTACAGTGGGCTTCAGGCTGATCAAGTGGAAGTTGCGTGAGGGAAAGAGTTTGTCTTCCCTGAAGGTGTTTTCTATGGGGGGCGCATTGGGCAGGCAGCGGTTTCGTATGCAGAGGCGGTTGCAGGAAGTCAGGAGGTCATGACTATGATGGAGCACTACGAGAAGAATTTGATCCCTTCAGGATGCGAGAGGTTCTGGACCGAGCCTTCAGAACGAGCGACCCTTGCCAGTGGGCTCGCAGCCCTTGGCGCTGCCAAAGATGACAGGGACATGCTGGGATCCAGAGGGCTCAGATGTATATGTCCGCACCTACAATGCTGTCGTGAAGCGGTTGCAGCATGGGCGATCAGAAGGGAGGGTGCCCAAGGCTGAATGGAGGCATGGAAGGAGAAGCTGGGCATGCACTTCCAGCGGAAGGACCACGTGAGTGTGTCGGATGGGGACACCACGTTGTATGGTGGCTCGTCGGATGAAGAAGAGATGGAGAAAGAAAGCGGCTCCAAGGAGGTGGAAGTGAAAGCCTCGCGACAACCTCGAAGAGGAGCGGGAAGGCCAATTCGTGGTGGTCTACAGGAGGGCCGGACACAGGACGCTGCGCCGGTTGGGCGCGCAGGGATGCTGGATGGCCAAGCGTCGTAACTTTGCCCGCTCCGAGATCCACAATGAGATGCCGGAGCCAGAGCACTATTCGGTGCGGTGTAAGCTGTGTTGGGGTGGACCTGGCGCTCCTCTCAGCGAGTCCATCATCGGTGTGCCAGGTAAGGGGGGACCAGTGTCTTGCATCACTGTGCACGCTCCATGTTAGGATTGATAGGACATGGTCTGCATGGTTCTGTTGTGGCCCAGGCTGGGCAGGGCAGAGCAGCAGCCCCATCGGGAGCCCCGCGGGGTGTGCAGGCGGGGTCGCATGCAGGTGGAGGGAGGGATTCTTTGACTCATGAGTTGCGCTCATTGGCACAGCATGTCAGGGGAAACAGCGAGGGTAGCACTCTTGGTTGCAAGGTTGGGTCAAGAGAGTTTTTCTGGGAAGTGATTTCCAGAACGGGAGGAGAAGTTGTCGAACTTTGCAAAGGACAGGGAAGACAAGAGAGGTCCCTAGAAGAGAGAGTCCAGATAGCAGCGGTGATCTGCGCCTGGGGAAATGCAAAGACTCATGTTCAAAGGGCTGCAGAAGTGGACGCAGAGTATGACACACAGCAGTGGTCACGTCCAGTGGTGGCTGTGAGTGGTCATCTATGAGGTCGGCATTGGAGAAAAGATATGGCATGGTGGAAGAGAAACTGATGCCAGCCAAGGAAATTGTGGAGAAGAAGCTTGCCGAGGTTGAGGCTGGCGAGTACAGGGCAGAAGATCTGACCGAAGTGGTATCAAAAGATGAGGTTGAACCAACCTATTATATGGGATGCAAAGGGACGCCTGGCAATGAGGAGAGGTTCAACCAAGGTGCCTGAACCAACCAATGCAGAGGAGCTGAGGCGAAGGTTGACACTGGCGCAACACTATGGTGATGGTGGCTTTGAAGCATGGCAACAGACAAGAGTTGCAGGGAAGTTGGGATGAAACAGCTGAACAATACAACTACTATCTGCTAGGCGAGTTTGTCTACGGGCCGAGTGCAAAGGACTCGGATGGACAGACCTTTGCCAGCCCTCCCTGGAGTTTGGTGTTAGCATATGAAAGGGCCATCCGGAAGAACATGGTGAAGCTCACCAATACAGAGGGGAAGCTGTTGGTGGTTGCACTGAAGACTTCCCGGAAGGATGCCACCGTGAAGGGGCGCAACTTCACTACGCCCTTGGCCTTGTATGCAAAGCGCCCAGTGCCGCCATGGCGTGAGCAACCGCCCATGAAGTGGCGCCAGCAGGAGAAGGGGGACAAAGGCAAGGCCAGAGGAAAAGGGAAGCAACAGAAGGGGAAGAATGGGCCTCACTGTGAGTCGCATACACCTGATGGTGAACCCATTTGCTTTCGCTTCAACACGCCAGGAGAAAAATGCAAAGTCAAGAAACGCAAATACCGCCATGTATGCGGGATATGCTTCAGCGAGAAGCATGCCTTGTTCCAATGCAACCCAAAGAACCGTCAGGATGCACCACCACCGGACACGGTGGGGTCAAAGTGAAGGACCTTGAGGGCCCTTTACTTGTTTTACTTGTTTTGCGGACGGAAGAGGCAGAATTCAGTTGCAAGTTTGAAGAAGCTGGCAGAAAAGCATGGCTACCAACTTGAGATGACAGAGGTTGATGTGCAGCGGGATCGCAGGTTAGATTTGACAGTTCCCAAGGTTCAGAAGCAGTGGCTCACGTTGATTGCCCAAGCCAACTGCTTTGCATTGCTTGTGACACCACCTTGTTCCACATTCTCGCGTGCTGTGTGGGCGACTGATAGGGGCCCCTTCCCCTTGAGGAGCTTTGCGCATCCCCGAGGCTTCCGGTGGAATCGGGGACCGAGGTTTCACAAAGCAGAATTTGGTACACTTCTTGCAGATTTTTCTTTCGAGGCGATGAAACGCCAGTTCAAGCGCAGACGCAGAGTGGGATTGATGGAGCAGCCGGAGGACTTGGGCCGGACAACATATGAGAGGGTTCCTGGACACCGCCCTGCATCAATGTGGCAGTTTCCACAGTTTCAGGCGTTGTTGGAGATGGATGGCGTACAGTGGTTTTTGCACAGCGGGATTTTGGCACCCCTACGCCGAAGCCAACAAGACTTTTGATGCGCATCAACGCGCCACTACATCCTTCAATGTACACTGGTCCAGATGTTTGATGCAGATGGATGGTACGTTGGCCCATTGCCCAAGCAGATGCCCACGGAGGGGCTCATTGACAGGGTTGGCAACCAATTCAAGACGGCTGCATCGGCTGCACGGCCGCCACAACTTTGCGAGTGGGCGGCATCCGTGATCCTCTCCTCCTTTGACAAAGAGTGCAAGCGGGCCCGAGAGGAGGAAGAGAATGTTTTTGTGCAGGAGGCTGATCTTCCACCGAGTGGAGCAGAAGGCTGTTGATCCTATGGCTCCACTTGTTCCTGGGGGTTGTGGCAGGACCTGTCGTTGGAAGGGTCTAGAGGCCCCCTTTCATGATGGAGGAGGACTAAGCATCGCCGGGAAGGTGGAGGATGTCCGACAAAGGTCCCGGAGGGAGCCATATAGGCTGCGATGAGCAACGGAGGTGTCCGCATGGCAAAAGGCGGAGACAACTTCAGGCTGGTCAAGGACGAGGAGTTCTTGAGGAGGATAAGGGAGTCGGGGGACCCGGACTATGAATTTTTGGACGAGGCAAAGACAGGTTTTTAGCTTGGGAGTGTTGTCTCCCTTGCCGAGGACGCCGGAGATCTTCGAAGAGCAGGTGAAGTGGTCTCTGGAGAATGAGGCGTGGGAGGAGCCACTTCGCAGTGAGATCTACATCTTCTTGGAGACCCACCTTGGCCAACAGCAACACGCCAGCGTGTGTCAGTACTTCACGGCCAGGGGCAGGCAGGCTTACGAGGGCACTCACGGTGGTATTTTTGCTTTTGTGTGACGCCACAGCAGGAATGTCCTTCGTCAACTCCTACCACATTGACAGGGCTGCGGCTACTTGGCTGCATGTGGCAGATGAAAACCACCACACTACTGCTAGTGGCCGTCTACTTCAAGACGGCGGAAGGTTTGCAAGGACCAACCAACCGTCAACTTCTTGCAAAGTTGCTCAGTCTCCTCCAAGAGCGCCGTCATCAGTACATCGTTGGGGGGAGTGGAACACTTCTCCAGAGTCAATCGACTGTCTTGGGATCAAAGTTCCCCTGGTATGCTCTCCGGGGCCACATTGGACTATGCCTCATTCACAACAGACTGGCGGGCAGCACCTCCATCCAGACTCCCTGGCGACCGCACACCCTGATCACCTTGGCCTTCGAGCTCCACTTCCACCTGCGACAAGTTCGACAGCCATCACCTCCACAATAGGTTGGATTGGACTGTCTACCGCGAACTTCTCAAGAAGTGCAACAAGGACCGGCCACTTCCAAGCACATTGTATGACAGAGTGGCAGAAACAGCACACACCACTCCAGCTCGACACGCCTGGCGCCCAGACCAAGGCTCGGGCTTTGGTTCATGGCCTTGGTATCCTCGCGCAACACATTGCCACACCGGTCAAGATCATCGTCCAGCTTTGGACCACCACCAAAGAAGCACACGGCTTTCAAGACCTGCTGGCTGAATCCCCCCTGAGTACAAGGCCAAGATCATTCCACTCTACGTGAGTCTGCAGCTGAACCGCATCTTCGAAATGGTTGAGAGATACTGGGCTTACTGCATGGGAGCGTGCATCTGAGCTGTATGATGCCAACAAGGAGCAGTGGCAGTAAACACTGGACACGGACCACCAGATCTACCGAGCGGGTCTGTGCCATCTACAAGGATCCCCAACACTACATTCATGACAAGCCTAGCCGCAATGCCGCCCACCACACCAAGCAGTACAAGAAGCGCCTCCTACAGAAGTGTCTGCGCGAACATCAAGAAGGGCATCATAGATGGACGGCACACCGCAGTGGCTACCAATGTGAGCACTGCTCCACACGAGTGCATCAAGGCCTGACGGACAGGTGATTGAAGCTCGCCTCCAGGAGACATGCGCTCACCTGATCCAGGAAGAACTACAAGCACCAGCACCAGCTGAACTCACCCAATTCTTCCTTGAACAACAACAGGAGGTTCCAGTCGAACCGGGCAAACACCACTTCGCTGAGACCACTGGCTATCTCAAGTGCACGCACTGTGGCATGGCCATCCTCAAGCGGGCCAACGACCAGATCTACCAGGCCTTCATTGACGGCGCCCGCGTTAGATGAAGCCTACAATGGACCACCAGCAGGGCACCCCACACATTTGTTGTGGCAACTCGGCACCGAGGTCTCCTGCAAAAGGTGCACATGAGCGGACCGGGCCGGGCCTCGGCAACTACTTCACCTCACCGCCTTCTACCAGTCCACCACCTCTTGGAGACAAGCCAAGTGAGACGTCCGGTGGACCCACTCCCAGGGTGCTTTTCAACGAGGAGATTGGCGACCCCAACGACGTGGCAGAGATAGAGGTGGACTACTTTTGAGGCGCCAATGAGCACATGCCCTAACGGGCTTGGAGCATGCAGAACGAAAGACACTCCTAAATAAAGATGCATACACGCATGCATACATACATACATACAATTATGCACAAACAATTACAGACATAACATAGCATGACATGACATGACATACATGACAGACATACACATACATACCTACCTACCTACCTACATACATACATACAAACATTATATATATATACATAATATATGTATGTTCGTACATGTATTTTTTGATCCTTCATGTTTGTTGTTTTGCTTCCACCTTGGGCTCCTTGAATCGCCCTGTACGATCGCCTGCGTGAGGATGGCAATGGCACAAATGCAGCAAATGCCTCAGATGCCGCAGCGCCTGCCAAACGGCATTGAGATCGCACCCTATCAGCCAACTGCTGGACCAGGCGTGTGGAATGTGGGCTGGTCGGTGCTTGTGAGAAGCTAGCTGCAGCTAGCTCGACCTTCAACATGACCAGTTGATACCAGGTGACGAAAAGGGGCAGAGAGAGGAACTCCAAGTCGCACAAATTTGTCCATCCCAGGCGTGGCAGGCCGCTTTGTCCCACCTGGTATGGGGCAGCTTGGTGGCTTTCCAGGTGTGGCACCATCGTCTCCTATCGTTCTCTTGTTTGCTGCACCGGTCCAACATGTCAAGACCTTGGTCGAAATGTCGTGACCTCATGCCCAGACCTTGCGCTGGTGCGGATGAAATGTCAGATGGAAAGGTAAATCCATGCAGCCCCACCGCCCCTCAGATTGCAGTTGGGCCTGACAGTTTGAGCCAAAGCTAGCTCCCTGCGCAGGACAAGCAGGACCATTTGCGCCACAACCTTTCATTCCAGGTGGTCAACTTCCAGGCAGGGCGGGTCAAACCCTGACTTATGCATGTTTGTAGATGAGGGTTTGGAGGTTCTGGAGGTAGTGCAAAAGTCAGGAGAGATTGAAGGATGTGCTTTTGCGGGTATCTCATCAGCCTCTACTGTGGGGCACGAATGTAGCTTCATACGAATCTTGCGAAGCGCATGAATTCATCAGCATTTGCAGGTGCCATGGCCCCTGGGTATGGTGCATCGGCCATGGACCTAGATTGACATGCTGCATGGTCATGCATGACAACAAGATCATTTCGTCTCCTTGCTTGAGCTGGGTTTGACTGAGCCGGTTGAGTGCTGCAAGTGAGGATGTTTTTGACTGATTGCAGCTTGCAATGCTCATGTGATACTTTGCACTGTTTGTTCAAGCACGAGATGGATGCAGAATCAGGCAATGCCCTTTCGATAGAAAAAGAAACGAAACCGATACTAACCCCTTCAGTTTGTGCTCCACCATCGCATCCCCCTCGAGCCTCCAAAGCAACTGATAGCGATGGCCTCCAACCCACTGGGGATGGCCTCCAACTAGACACAAAAAGGGCTTTGGTTTGATTCCTTGTCCCACAGGCCAGCAGCGGTCCCAAAGGCCACCCCGTGCCTGTTGGCTGTCACATCCGAGCGAGATGAAAGACCACGTGAAATCGAAGAAAGCATTTGTTGGCCCTGGGGTGTAGTTGAGGCGGCCAGGATATAGGAAGCTTTTGAAGGACTTTTTGGCATGTGAGTGAAACGCCTTGCAAGCTTCCTCCAATCCACATGTGCAAATGCGTCATTGCCGATCCCAGTAGGTCAAACCCAGAGGTAGTCTCTTTCTTTGTCTCACGGGCAGTTTTTTTGGTTTGCAGCAACGAGGGAAGACTCATAGCAAACCTTTTTGGTGACGCCGGAGCACGTTCCAAGCAGTTTGGCCTTTCGGCTGATTTGGTAAGATCGCTGCCAAGCAGTGTTGCTTGATGTCCCTTCGTTTTGGTGGCAGGACTTATCGAGCGGGTGGGCAAAGGAGAGACCTTGCCAGGGAAGGAGGCCAAGAATTTGATATGCATCTCATGTTCAATTGATGGTTTATGGTCGGGATTGTTCCACTTGTCCTGATAACAAGGTGGCAATCCAAGTCACAGTCTTTCCGAGTTTAAACATTTTCCGCGAACAAATCATCCACAGCTTGCTCTATTCCATACGACATTACACCTAGTGGCCAGAGCATAATCTTGGGGAAGCGACTCAAAGCTTCTCCAGGTCGCTGCACGACTTGCCGGCCAATGCGTCTCCTCCAAGGCCAAACACTCGGTCAATATCGGTCAATCCGTTCATCACTTGGTCATGAACAAGTAAGGAGCACCCTGTCTCAAACAATCATGGAAGCTGAGCAGAGCCAACCTCCAGACAGTTGTTTTGCATGAGCCAATGTTCTACTTCCATGAATTTCCATGTTGGTCTCAAAAAAGATGGATGTATTTATGTTTGATCATTTTTTAACACCGGCGCGGTGGCAACGAACGACTCTCGTCTTGTTTCACACGAGTTCGGTGCCTCCGCCAGCTGTCAATAGCACCGAGCAATTGAGAGGTGTCTGGATCCCAACTGGGAGATTTCGTGGCAGACCGTGTCGGGAACTAAGATTTGCTGCGACCGAGTGCCAAGTGAGGACCTAGCACTTGTGGAGTTTTGGCGTGTGAAAGAAGTGGGGTTGGTGAAATGGCTGGGGCCTATCCTACCCGTTTGAATGGCACTTCGCTGCATATTCCGAGCTTTGCCCCGGTCTTGACAGATACCAAGGACTGCACCTATCCCAAAATACAGTAAGACTCCTGTTGAGGTTGTCGAGGTGTCAGAGAAAGACCAATTCACATCTATGCTGCATGGCTTTCATTTGCACGCAACGCGAGGGGGCAGCAGTCTCTCCTTTCAGGTGCGAAGGCTCTATTTGGGCCTCGACGGTGATGGAGACGATGGCCTGATGCGAATGCTGCAGTACCTTTGGCAGAACTTCGTAAGAACAGCATAGCCCACACAGTTATATTCATCTCTGGGACCTCCAGGGAAACGTGAACTGTTTGCCAAAAGTCCTCTCCATGCTATTTGGAATATTGCTCACCGTTGTGGTCCAAGAAAACATAACCTTGTCGCGTGCTCAGAATCTGTACCGGAACTACATGCCAATTTGGGCAAAGCCCACAGCAAGCTGTTCTGAGGCTGGTTGATTCGATGAAGATGCAGCTCGGCCTGAAATTTTGCTGGGGGGGTCGAAAAGAACAGGCTGACAAGCAGTTCAGCAGCCTATGCCAAGCAATGAAGGAAGGGAAGTTTCTTTGTTGTTGAGCCTATTCCAAAGGGTCCCTCCGTCCAGTGCCACACTAATAGCTTTGGTAAAGGCACAAAGCACATCAATGTTTTAACCTTCGTTTTGATGACTGCACGAGTCTCATTTTTTATGCACCTGACTGAGCAAGAGCGCTCAAGCGGCCTAAAGCAAAAGCCATTTCCCTACAGCTCAGGCACGAAAGCCCCATCATGCAAGAGGCAGTCAAGAAACTACTGAAGGCTCGGGGAAAGTCGTTGCTATGATGGCCCGTACCTTCATTTGGTCACTGCTTGCTTCCCCTAAGCAGAACAGTAATAGATCAAAAGAATCACTAGCAGCACTAGCATGCATGGAAAATGATATACAGTACCATTAGAGCTCTCGCTAACACAATCAAGACGTTCACACATTTTCAGGTTAGAGCCACGGGTGGAACGTCGGGTCATGACTACTATTGCGGATCCTGCCCGTTTTGGCCAGGAAGGCGTCAGCGAAGAGTTCTTATCACTGAAGTCATCGTCAAAGCACAAGGAGCCAGAAAGTCACTAACACCACACAGTGAATTGAAAAATTGGCCAGGGCAGAGACTCCTCGATGTTCCAAATGAAGAGGCAGCACTCAAAGACTTAAAGATGCCAAAGCAATCCACTACCCAGTGTCATGGCTCCAGGACAATGCGGTGCCCAGTCTGCGGAGGCTAGGTTTGCTGGGTGCCGAATCACTGCCAGACCTTTTGGGTGAGGCCGGGTGCGTGTGTGTTTCTGCTAATCGCTGGCTTTGATGGCAGTGTGTCAATCTGAGTAACTTTCAACTCATGAAACCTGGTTGTGGTTGCGTCACCTCAGACTGATAGAGCTTGTGCGTAGAACCTCAACCTTTTTCTCCATTCTCCGCTCAAATTCAAGGAGCCAGGAGCGTCGTCAAATGCAGCCAGCGTGCCTCACTAAGTCTGAGATGTGTCCACAAAGCCTTCGTGCCGGGCATGGAGAGCCACAGGTTGCATCGTTCAGGTTACACTCACCAATCCCTAAGCGTGATTCCACAAAGATGTTGCCTCTTTTGCCCCGAGCTGCGCACGGAACTGAGGTGGATCTTCTGGGTCTCTTGGTGAAAAAAGTCAGCATCACTTTGGATGTTCCGGGAAGGGGCGTTATCCATCAACCCTTGCCTGACTTGCTTTTGTCAAGTTGCTTTTGACCTCAAGATGTCTAAGCATAAGAGCCACAATGAAGACCTGGGCATTAACGGAAGCGTGTCAAGAACATCTTGCAGTATCAATGAAAAGCCTTGTTATATATGTTGCAGCGCGCGTACTTGCATGTTTCAAAACAAAGAACAAAGGGGAAACATGTAAGTAGGCTTTCAGCTTCCCATTCTTCCTTCCACCAAGGGGATGCAGCTCCAGCAGCTCCAGCTCAAAAGACAACAGACCTCTTGGATTTCTGAGCCAACAAAGACAGCAGAAGTAGATGGCCTAGTAGATGACTTGGTTGTCCGAAACGGACAAATCTGAGCCCCAAGGGCCCTTTCGGCACCTGCCATGCAGATGATTGGTGGGAATGAATACCATACCAATGGTTCAGTGAAGACTTGGCTGTGAAAGAAGCTTTCTTGTTCGTCAGGAGTCAGAAGAAAGTTTCCATTCAACTGTTGCGCTTGTGGTCATAACTATGAAGCGGCCCAACCTGGCGTTCTGCAGAGCAGGTGGGCCTGAACTGGACGTTTTATTAAGCTGGGCCTCAAAATCACATCTACCACATGCTTGGAGCAAGTCACAGCACATCAATCCTGTTATTTAGATTTTCCATGCAAGTTGGGCACCTTGCTTTACATTCTTGAGACTTGGCTAGCCAAAGATCAGGTTGGCATTGCTGTGCGAATGGTGTGGACGTACGCCCCATCCCCATCGGTGAGTGTCCCTAAATGTTGATACCTGATATTCCGTTGAAAAGCATGACCAGAAAAATCATAACAAGCCTTGCTTACTCTTGGAGTCACCACCTTTCTCCTCAGCCGGCATGCCATGCTTCCTCAGTGCAGGGCCGACCAGTTAATTACAGCCATCACATGAAAACAGATTTGAAGATTTGTGTGGCCCTAAACAAGCCCACGCCAAATTGTCTTGTTGCTCGAAAAGTGTGAGTTCTCTATGCTGCGAGCTTTCTATGCTCGCCTGAGAGGTGACATCACTGTGATCATTGCATCAAGTTTGACTGACAAGCTGTTTCAGCCATGTTGGAGCACGTAGTGCCACTGCCCAATACATCCTGGCCCTGCACGCGGATAGTAGGAAGAATTTCCTGCTGTGGGACAGGCTGCAAAGTGGCTGGCTTTGAAGCCGCAAAAAGGACCTGTAATGACTTGTAGCGTTTTGGAGCACACTCTTGGATACCATTGGATTTAGGCGTTGAATTCCTGATGGTGTGTGTTCGACATCCTGGCAAGACTATTTCACTGCCACCTTGCCGGTAACTTCTGAGCTTCCAAGTCAAAGGCCTTGTGAGAGTAGCTTGGAAAATCCTTTGGCTAAGGCTTTTGGACAAGAGTTTGCGGCCAATGTGCATGAGTCAACCACCGTCTCAAGGGCTGTAAGTAAGTAAGCTTCTGCATTGAGGCACAATTCTGGACCTCGACTTGCGCAAAGACGAGGTTTTGTCACCGATGTTTTTCTGCTTCGGCATCCTAATCACCCAGCTTCCATTCAATCTACATGATAGGTTCTCACACCGACCCTCACTTAGTATAAACGCTTGAGGTTTCCTTGGTCGTTTGTGCGATTCAAGGTTAGTCATGCTTTGCCTGTTGCAATTTGAGTGCGTAATGAGCCACATCAGCACTTACGGAGGCCTCTCAGACAACAAGGAAAGATGGTAGGCCCCGTCTTTTTGGCAACACCACCACTGGTCTTTGAAAGCAAAGAACATGCAAAAGAAAGAGTCCTTGAGGTTTTGCCCTCAACCCATGACAGAAGCACTTGGCGTGACAACCCCAGACCATGCAGGTCGGCCGCCTTCCGGATGCATACGAGAAGCTGATCCATGCTGCAAGGGCCTCAGGGAGTTGGGCCTCCGCCATGAAGTCCAGTCAAGCTCTCTGATGTTATCAAGCAGCGTATAAATGTTGACGCTTTATTAGACTCTTAAATGCAACAATTGAACATGTGTATATATATATATGTGTGTGTGTATATATATATACTGTATATTTTTGTATATATGTACACTGGTTATTCAGTTTTTGCATATATTCTTAGAGTGGCTTGTCGTTCGTTTCTAATATGTATCTTTTTGATTCTAGTAGGGCCATGGAAAACCCTTGTTAAATCCTTGACCAATCCTTGGCAATCCTGTGGCAGTGGAGGGTCAAGGTGGGTGTGAAAGTATGCCCACCAGGCGCAAGGTGGGGGTGCCAGGGAAAGGGCACCTGCCCCCTGACTATGTCCATGGTCCTCCTATGTTCTACCATGGCATGCCAGTGAACCTTGGCCAGCTAAGCACTGGCTATGCTCCTGCCCGGTCTGCCTATAGCTCCACTGTGAATGAAGCCAGTGATTTGGCTAATTTATTACATTCTGAGCCTGGAATGTTTGTGATGGAAGGCATCCATAGTGTGATTATGAGCCTGGAATGTTTGTGATGGATGGCATCCATAGTGTGATTAGGTTGGAGGGTTGGGTGTACTGACTTAGGTGATGATGATGATGAGTCTGACAATGACAATGAGGATGCCTCAGGGTCACAAGAGCGCTCTAGGCTGTGAGGGGACTGGGCAAGAGTTTCAATGATGGTGTGTGATTGTGAAAAGCAATGGAGCAATAGTACCAATGACTGAACAAATGTAAAACAACAAACTAACAAGAGGGACAGTATGTTTTTGTTAAACTTCTTTATGACAGGAAAAAGAGAAAGAAGGACAAAAAAGGTAAGAGCAAGAGGAAGAGAAAGGATTCAAAAGAGAAACCATCAGGAAGCAAAAAGAAAAGGAAAAAAAGAAGCAGCAGTTCAGACAGCACTTCCAGCAGCATTGAACTCGCAAATGATGAGCAGCTCAATTCCTTGCCTATCAAGGGGACTCTTTCATGCACCTAGAACTGAACAAGGCTTTGGAGTAGTAAAAGTAAACATTGTTTGGTTGAGCTTCCACCTGGACATCAAACTAAGTAGCTGTGTCAGGGTGGGTTTTGAACTCAATTCAAGCTTGGTTGAGCTTCCACCTGGACAAGAAACTAAGGAGCTGGGTCAGATTGGGCAATGATTGGACTTCCACACAGGGCAAGGATGGGAAACCTGATAAGAAAAATTCAGTTTCCAGAGCTGAGAGAGTCAGAATTTTGAAGAGCATGAATGAAGACAAAATGCAGCCATGTTTCTTTGAAGCACTAATAAGAATGAGATGTCATAGAGCTATGGGGCACTTTGTTTGCTTGGAAATGCCTGAGGCTCCCTGAGCCAACTTTCAGATTGGCAGCTAGATGTGCTGATGTATGTGTGCACAGGGCTGGGTCCTTTGGTCAGGATGAAGGAGCTCAGGGTTGAGAACAGGGGTGCTTTGTTCTTTGGATGCAGGTTGGTCCAGTGGTGAGTCCCTCAAGTTTGCTGCATGCAATGTGAGAAATGTGCAAGTGCTTCTTGGCCTAGGCTAACAGCCCTATCCAGGGAGCATGACAAGCTCAAGAAGTCCAGTGGTGATGCCAGATTGGGTGCAGTGAAGGACACTTGGCAAGAGATAAACTTCTCTTGTGCATTGGGTGATGGCTGGGTTTGTGCTTGTAGTTTGTTTTTGTTTTGTTTTGGCAAGGCCTACACATTAAATGGGTTTGACATGGCTTGACCCAGCCTGGCCCAAGGATGACTTCAGCAACCTTGGGGAAGTTGGCTACATCCTTGGATGGGAGAAGCTCTGGAAAAAGCAGAGCTTTGGATGAGTAAAGTTGAATTTGTGACAAGTGGGTGGGTTCAAATGTGTTTTGTTGTGCTTGGCAGTGTGAGGCAACTGCATGCCAACAAAGGGTGTTTTGAGCATTGCCTGCTGCAACCAGGAAACCTGGCAAGAAGGAGGAAGACCCAGCTATGAAAGCTAACTATAGAAGCTGGAAGAGGCACACTATGGGTGAGTTTGGGTTTGGGTTTGGCAAGGGGCGCATTGAAGAACAAAAGGTGAACTAATCTCTCATCATAGAATATAGATTAGATGGTGCTTGCTTTTTTTGTATAAGTTTACTTCTTTGCTTCCTTTGTCTACTCTTTAGCTTTTTCTGGTTTTCCTTAATTGCCTGGCAGGGCAGATGGTACCATGGTGGTGGCCAACAGGGAGAATTTGGAATACATTGTGGCACCACCTGGGTGTGGGGCCAGCATGGTCTATAGGGATGGAGTGTATCAGTTGAGCATCCCTGCCACTGAGCAGGCTTCAGAGTGCCTAGCATATTGTTAGTGGTTGTTTGCTGAAATTGAAATGCATAAATGCAAGTTCATTCTAGTTGGGATGGGCTTGCCAAAGTCAGTTTGTTGATCTTGGCAGCCCAGGGCCTGTTTCAAGTTGGATCTGATCTTCAAGGGGGCAACAGGAATTCATGACTGGTATGAGATCATTGCAACTTGCCTGCAATGTTACAACTACTGTAATTAATGGTACATGTTACATTGTGGGCTTGCTCAACCACTGTGATGCTGTGTAGAGAGCAACATGTATGTTGTGGGGAGCAATGCACCATGAGGCCAACTATGCTGGCAAACATCCTGATGCTCAATGGGTCAGTGACTACATCAACAGCTTGAAGTGTAACTTGGATGTCTATGGCTGTTTGTCTCTATGGCTATGGTGTATGAGGGCAAATGGAAAGTGTTGGAGAACATGCCATTCATTGCATGAATAAAAAGCAACATGAAATCTTAGTTCTCTGTGTTTTAAAAGGGGCCTACCTAAGGTATGGAGCCCACTCATTGGCAAAGGGCCCAAATGGAGAAGGTTCTGGGAAGTGCCTCATCTGTCATTTGAATGTGTGGAGAGTGTGTGTATGGTTTGCTGGTCAAATGGGCTTCTTTGCACTTTTGCCTAGGATCCATCAGCCAGCCAACAAGAGGTACACTTCAGGAGTTCACTTCAAGGAGTGCAGAGGTGGTCCAGCAAGAGTTGGCCAGAATGAGGGCAAAGGTAGACGCACAGAAAAGAAAAGTGGAAGCCAAGGTTTCAGAAAGCAAAGAAAGCACAGGTCAGCCAATGGTGAGCCTAGACCTAGAGGCAAGGCAAAAGAGGCTAGAGGAGGCCAGGAAAAGAATTGAGGAGCTGAAGCAGAAGCAAGGAGGTGGAACACAAATGAACAAACCCACACTGTCGCTTGAGGAGAAGAAGGCCCACATTGAAGCAGAAAAAAAGAGGTTGGAAGCCTTGAAGGAACAAAGGAAGCTGCAAGAAGAGAATGCCAGGCTTGAGGCTGAGGAGAGAAG